TGTGGATGTTCCCTTCTCTAGAAATCGCTATCAAGTCAATGGTTGATATTTATTGAACTGATTTTTTGAGTCATTTTAAACAAATTCTAAAAATTATTGTATTTTATTAAAATAATGAAGTACAACGTAGTCAAGGTTTTACAGCTGCTTACATTTTTTATTTTCAAATCTGAGATTAGGAAATTTGTCAAGATTCGAAGATTACTTTCAAAATACAATCTCAACCTTAAAATTAATAAATTATTTTAAGGTAGGTTGTTCTAGAAAATGATGGAAGCATAAAAGGATAAGTGAAGGAATTTTTATTTTAAGGTCAGCTGTTTTGATTGAATCCGTTTAAGAGTTTATAACAAGACAACAAGAAAAAATTAATGATTAACTAGTTGAGGTATTATGTGAAAAATAATTTAACTTTAGTTTTCAAAATTAGAGATGGGTCCGCAATTGAATGTTCTTTCTGGAACCTAAGGATATATTGTAAACAAAGACCAAGAAGTGGGTCTTAACTCTTGTATATTCAATACAGAGAATAAAGGTCTTTTCCCTCTTAGCCTCTTCTTATTTATTATTTGAAAGTTATTTATAAACAATTTAAATTATAAATAAATAAAAATGAACGGTGCATAAGTGATCTCACGAAATTTATGAATAAAAATGATTTAACTAATTATAAACATGTGACAAATAAAGGCATAGTTAAGCTATTTTAGAGAAAAACAGTATTTAAAGGCTAGAACAACCCTCTATTAGGTTGTATAGCTTTCCAAGCAATGTAAGATTTGTTAAGGTTGAATTTTGTGAGAAAAATCAGTCTAATAAATGGTGCTGGCTAAAATTCAAACCAAACGAATCCTCCTATTTATTTATTTATTTATTTATTTAATCCTTGTTTGAGTCCTATTTTTTCTATCAACATATATTCTTGAACAATGTTTGATCCTGTTACAATCACATATTTTTCAATAAAATAATATTACACACAAATCTAAAATATTATTTCTTTTAATCACATTCTCCATCGTAACACTATTATAAAATGTATTTTTTAAAAAAAATGGGTTCAAACAAGCCAATGTCAAATGATAAGTGTTTTACACGCTTATCTATGTTATAAGTCTACTTAATATTTAATTAGGGAAAATTGCAATAACGATCTCAAATCTTTGAGTTTTTCACTAACAACATACCTTTGCAAGATCAAAATACATTTGGA